GACAAACAAGCATACCAAATTTCAAGAAGACAGCATTTACAAAATAGGACGCCTAAATATGAACACAACAAAAAGTGTCCAGCAGATGGCAGACATTTCTTCAACWGAAGGTACAAACCTTCTGGGATGAAAGGCAATGGGCGATGTTCATACCTTCAATGTCTTTAAATTTTGAAACTGTTCTACAGGTTGGCGCTCTGGTGCTTACTCCTACAAGAGAACTGGCTTTCCAGATCAGTGAAGTGGTGGAGAAATTTCTTCGGAATTTTCCACAGTTTACGTGAGTGTAAAAGTTCCTCTGGATTGTAGAGTAAATTTAATATAATTGAAAATGCAACTGATCAAAGCGCATTACACTGTAAATTGCCACCCAAGAATCKCTGGATATGTTTTCAAAGGTGATATTTTCCTCAAAATGTTTTTGTACTGAATTATTTACCTGTTGTTTTATAGGCAGATTTTATTGATTGGTGGCAGTAACCCAGTGGAGGATGTAGAGAAGTTCAAGGATCAGGGGTAAGTGGTTTGCTTCATGCAAATCAGAAATGTAAACAACTAAGCCCCATCTCCACCACCATGCTTGTGTTTGTCTCGGTTTGGCACTTTGATTTATAAAATAACTTTTAGTTAAGAGATAACTTTTAGTCAAGAAAAAATATAAATCAAACATAAAGAACATTATTATTTTGTTTATAATCTTGATTAAAGAAAATAAAATGTCTCTTTTGATGGAGCTCTTCTGAGACCAGGATCAAAGACAGGTGGAACTGTTTATTCCCCTTTGGGGTGACCCCTACATTATAATGTTTTGTACATTAGGAGATAAAACAAGTCAAACAAAATGAGTTTGTATTTAAAAGTTCATCTTCACGTTGTGCAGCTTCGACAACTACTCTGCCAACATGATGCTGGATGGGAATCCAGTAACCCTGGGTCTGTGGGACACAGCGGGACAGGAGGACTATGACCGGCTCAGACCCCTGGCCTACCCAGAGGCGGTGGGTTTCTGGAGTCGAGATTTAACAAATAAGTTGTGCCTGTGCTGAGTCAGCATTTACACTTTTGTTTTACTTTTTTCAACATATGTTCTGCCATTATTTTATCCTTCTGCATATTTTGTGCTGACGTAGACAATAATTTATACTTTTCAAAAAATGTGTTTTTATTTTCAGAAAATCCCCCCCTTAATATACATTGAGATCTGTTCAGTGTTTTCAAAACATTGCTCTCTTTGACATCTGCTTTAGTGTACATGTTTTGTCTTTTTATGCTTTTTTTTTCCAAGTTTTTAGCTGTCATTAGCTGCTTTAGCTTTTAGCTTGTTTTAAAACTTCATTTTAGATTTTGGTTACCGTTTTGTTACTTTTGGCTTTCATCTTGCTGTTGCTACTTTTAGCTCTTAGCTCGTGTTTTTTGTAACAATATCATCTTCAGCTAATTTTACCAAACTCATGCAGCATACCTCATTTTCACAAAAGATGCAAATTGTCCAGTTTTAATTAATTTTAGCATTATGARGTGAATAAAGTTCTAAACATCAGGTTTTTTCTCTCTCTCTTAGGATGTATTCCTGATTTGTTTTTCACTTGTCATTCCATCTTCCTTTCAAAATGTTCGTGCCAAGGTAAGAAGAGAAAATTAACTGTGGATCATTTATTAGAATATGTGCAAAACTTGAAAAACCATTTTGACACAACTCAATAGCTCAAACAAGAAACCAAATAATATAATATTATACAAATAATAACATATATAGTGATGTACACAAAACCTTTCTGTTTCTGCTTTATGCACTGTTGAACCAGAACAAATCTTTTTAATTGCTGGTCAAATACTGTGAGTATACCACAACCTGTCCTCCTGCAGTGGTATAATGAAGTGAGACACCACTGTGGCAATGTTCCTTTAATCCTGGTGGGCACCATGATGGACCTGAGAGACGATGAAGATATGATGAAAAAGCTAAAAAAGAAGAAACTGTCTCCAATAACATGTAATCAAGGCTCATTAATGGCTAAAGAAATAGGTCAGTTGTGGATCCACAGATGAAATAACTTGTCTTGTCAATATGGTTTTGTCTTTATTTGCATTTATTTTCTCAATCACCTTGTGTATAGTAATCATAAGTGTGTGTGTGTGTGTGTGTGTGTGTGTGTGTGTGTGTGTGTGTGTGTGTGTGTATATATATAT